GGCGGCGGGGAGGGCGGCGGGGGCGGCGGCGGGGGCGGCGGCGGGGGCGGCGGGGGGCGCGGCAGCGTTGTCTGCGGGGGGGGCGGGCGGGGCGTCGTCCCCTCCCGGCAGGGAGCCGAATCCGGGCCTTGGGCGGCGGCAGACGTCAGAGGAGATCGCGCGCGAGCGGTGGCACGAGCTACACGCGAGATGGCGTCGAGATGGCGTCGAGATGAGGCGAGAGTGTGGCGGGGGTAGGTGGCACGTGCTCGACGCGATCTCGCACTCCTCCTTCTGGCTGGCGCAGGCCTCGTACAGCCTCGTCCACTCCATCGTCGCCGCCGTCGTCTTCCACCGCCTCGACCTGCTCACCGACATCGAGGTCATCATTTGTGTCCCCTCGAGAACCCGTGCTTGTTTCCTTTCCTCCGTGCTTTCACTTTCTCCCCACACTTGTTCACCAAATCCCGCACTTGCCCCTCCAAACATCGCTACGAACTCGTAGGACCCGGTCCTGGAAACCTCCTCGCGCACCCTCGGGGTCGCGGCCAACCCCGCAGCCTCCGCCGACCCCGCAGCCTCCCTCAACGCCGGCGGGTGCGGCGGCGGCACCGGCCCGTGCGGCACAAACGACGCGCACGTGGCGGCGCGCGCGGCGGGAGCGCTAAGCCTACAGGCGAGATGCAGCCGAGACGCAGCCGAGATGCAGCCGAGATGCAGCCGAGATGCAGCCGAGATGCAGCCGAGAGGCAGCCGAGATGCAGCCGAGATGCAGCCGAGATGCAGCCGAGATGCAGCCGAGATAGAGCCGAGATCCAGCCGAGATAGAGCCGTTCGGCCTCCAGGCGCTCGTCGCGCTCGGCTGCGCAGTGGCGGCGCCGCTGCCGCTGCTGGTGCGGCGGCAGGAGCTGCTGCCGCACCTGTGAACAGCGTCTCTGCACACCTCGAGCTGTGAGTAGGTGCGGCGGCAGGAGCTGCTGCTGCAGGTCTCGCTGCTGTCCGCCTCCACCGCACTCCTGCTGATGTCGCACCTGCGCACGAACGTCGCGCACCAGACGGCGCGCACAGCTCCCCTCCCCTCCCCCTCCCCTCCCCCTCCCCTCCCCCTCCCCTCCCCCTCCCCCCCCCACACGCACACCCACTTCCACCCACACGCACAGTTGCGTCTGCCTTCACGTGAACACACAAGCAGCATGGCGGCTCCTTGTGGGATTGTGCGAGAGAGCGAGCGCGCGCCCACCCGCCCGGCGGTCAGGCGTGGAGATATGCGGAGATACGGCGAGATTTGGGGAGATGTTCCGCTTGGCGGCCAGGCGTCTGCCTTCCCCTACCCCACGGTACCCGAACCCACACTCCCCTACCCCACGGTACCCGAACCCACCCTCCCCTACCCCACGGTACCCGAACCCACCCTACCCTACCCCACGGTAATCGAACCCACCCACCCGCTTGGCGGCCAGGCGTCGCTGCTGCTCGGGGGCGCCTACGCGCTCGCCAACAGCTACAGCACCACCCTGTGGGAGTACTTTTTCGGCGCCGCCGACGCGCAGCGGATCAAGCAGACCTCGCTCGCAATCACCTCTGCCACGTCCGGCCTCGCGGTGTGGGGCTTTGCGCACGCGCGCGCGCGCGCCGGCGGCGGGAAGCACTACGGCGAGGCGATGGACGCGTGCGCGTACCTCGGCTTCGGCCTCGCCGCCGCGGACCTCCTCCTCCTCGCCAAGCCCGAGACGCTCGAGGCGATCGTGCGGAGGGCGCCCACCTGGGAGCAGCTGCTCGCGCGGCGGCAGCGCGCGACGTACTTCTCCGTCTCGAGCCAGCTCTCGCGCTGCCTCGACTGCTGCGGGTTGGGCGGCTCGCGCGGCTACCGCTGGCAGCGCCCGCCGCTCGAGGTGGACGCGGATCTGCCGCTCGAGCAGGTAGGGGCCTAGGGCCGCCAGGGCCGGGGCCTGAGCAGCCGCGTGTGGGGAGAGCAGCCGCATGAGGGGAGAGCGCGAGCGGAGGTTGCGGAGCGAGTCTGCAGGAGCGAGTGCGCGACACGTACACGCGTACGGTGCTCGGTGGCGGGCCTTGGCGCGCGCCGTTTCGCTGGGCTGCTGCATGTGCATGTACAGTCTACAGCTTCTACTACAGCTTCTTGCCTTTTTGCGCCAATACTGGCCCCGAGATACAGACACCAGCCAGCAGACTCTCTGTCGGGCGAGACCGGAGAGAAAGCGCCAGCACGCCCAGCTTCAGCCCCAAGTAAATAAGGACCATATATTGGAAGATTCGCTGTCTTGGGATCTCCTCGATGTTATTGATCGTCGCGTAACTTTATTATATACCTCCTTTGTATGGAACATGCAACATCGCACACACACACAAAACTCACACACCATCAATCACAGTCAAACGACGTAGAGTCAAACGTACGGCGTCGTGGAGGTACGGTATCTCGCCAACCAGTCCACCGGAGCGGTCATTCGACTCCGTACAGGAGCTCCCTCTCCTTCTCCCTTTGTTTCTGCCTCTCCCTCTCCCGGTCCTGCTTGAGCTCCTTGATCTTCTTCTTGCGCGCGGCCTGCGCCTCCTTCGTGGGGTCGCGCGCGGAGCACGCTGCTCGATGGCAGCCTGCTCAGTACGCCTTGGACAGTGACTTCTGCCTCGCTGCTCTTACCAAAATCACCCCGTTTTTGCCCATTTTCGGTCATCCGTCAAAATATCTGAAGATCTGTCCGGGGGATTCTCCCCAAACCTTGCTCAGCTGATCCAGCCTGGGGGGAAGGCCAGCCCTGGGCAAAGAAACCAGTACCTCATCAGGCTTCCCTGAGCGTCACAGCTCGGTGATCGCGCCGGCCGGACACCACTGTGACGTCCGTTCCGGGCATTTGAACGCGACCTTCGGGGGCAAAGACATGGGCTCTATGGCTCAGACTGGACTCCTCTTGGTCCCTTCTGGTGCCCTAGGCCACACCTGGGCCTTGGCGAGCGCACGCGCACCTTGGCTCCGGGGAGCGAAGGCGACACCGACGCGGAGATGACGATCGTGATGCGGCCGTCGTCAGCCGGCACGATTCCGACCTTCGCGAAGGACTTCATCGGGGACAACTCGCCCGCGACGTTGCCGCCGCCCGTGTCAACGCCGTCCTTGAGCGGGCTGGGCTCGCTCTTGGGCGGGATGCCGACGGCCTTGGCGCCGGCCGGATCTGGAAACTCCTCTGGAACCTCCTTGGTCGAGACGTTCCAGTCGGCGACGCCCTACGCATCACGCGGGACGGATGAAGGAGTGGGTCGGCAGACGCACGTGCGCAGAATGCCAGGCGCTCGCCGCCGGGGCGGGCTCCTCCACCGGAAACTCCTTGATTGACGCGCCGGACTCGGCCACGGTGACGTCCTCAGCGGGTGCGTTCTTGGCGCCGCTCGCCTGGGAGAATGGGAGCGTGTTGGGAGGAGATGGTAGCTCTGCGACAAGCGCACACGCACAAGCCTTTGCTCCGAGGAGCGGAGGCGACTCCGGCGCGGAGAAGATAACGACCTTGATGCTGCCGTCTTTGGCCGACACGATGCCGACCTTCACTGTCATCTGGTTCTCTGACATGATGCCGATCGAGTTTTTGCTCGTACCTATGAGAGGGGGGGCGATCTCAGGCACTAACGGACGAGACGTCGGCTAAATCTCGCCTGAATCTCGGCTAATCTCCTCTCTGATTGCTGCACATCGTGTTCCGGGCACCAGTGCTGCTTCTCTCTGCTTTGAGAGCGTCTTTGAGGGGGGGAATTGAGTGGAAGGGGGGCTCAAGAGGGCCGCACCTACTCGCAGCGCACGCAGCTTGAGGCCCGGCGCCAAGGAAACCGCGGCACACCCGCCTCGCCCACGTTGTTTTGGATCTGCGAGGGCGCAGGCGGCGGCGAGCGAGCGTCAGCAGCATAAGATGGGACGAGCATAGCGCGGGCTCGTTTTGGGGGTCGCGGGGGCGCATTAGGCATGAAGGCGACCCGCGGCCGCGCGCTCAGCAGCGCTCAGATCGGCAATCCGATTGTGCCAGATTCGCGGCGATTCTCGGAGCGAGCCGCTCGCGCGGCGGCGGTCGCAGCACGGCGTGCAGCCGGGCACGGGCTCGCTGCAGTGGTGGTTGTGGGGCGAGGCGAGAGGGCCCGCGCGGGGGCAGCTCTCATCTCGCGCTGCGTCGCGCCGGGCGAGGGGCGAGGCGAGAGGCAACCATGGCAAAAGGACCTGCAAATCAGCCGAGCAAAGGTTGGGTCGAGCAAAGGTTGGGACCAGCTTGGTTGGGATTAGCCGAGGTTGGGAGCTCGAAACAGGATCTCGGCGTTTTCGTGTTGGCGACCGTGGCGTTCGGCATTGCGTTTTTTGAAGAAATGGCCTGTAAAGGAAAGGAGCGGGACGAAGAATCGGCGAGGGACTGTGCGAATAGAGATAGGAGAGGTGCAGACGCCCAAGGGTGTGGGCGACGGCTAGGGGCTAGCACCACACTCCTACGGCATGAGGCGTCTCAAGGAGTGCGTCCGACGGTGTGGCGCAGCATGAGGCGAGAGGACGCTCTCTCTTCAGAAGCGACTTGCTGAGATTCGGCATGACCGAGCCCTTTGCTGGCCGAGTGCTGGCCTGGCGGCAACGGTGCTCAGCCGGCGCTCGGGTTTCTTTTTTACTCGGTCCCGCCGCCAGTGCTTGATTGTCCAGCGCCGCCTTTTACGAGAACGAGAAGGATCGGCCGCGCCGTGCGGGATCTGGCATCCCGCGTGAAGAGATCTTCATCACGTCCAAGGTGTGGCCGGGCGAGGACGGCGAGTGGCTGACCGACGGCTCCAAGGTCGTGCTGGAGACGGTCCAGAGGAGCGTCGAGTTGCTCGGCACGCACACGGACCTGTACCTGCTGCACACACCGTTCAACAAGCAGCAGCGCATCAACTACTGGCTCGGGCTCGAGGCGGCGCGTCAGAAGGGCCTCACCACCTCGATCGGCGTCTCCAACTTTGGCGTGGCGCACCTGGAGGAGCTCCTCGCCTCCGAGAAGACGAGCGTGCCGCCTGCAGCCAACGAGGTCGAGCTGCACCCCTTCCTCCGGAAGGACGACATCGCTGCATTCTGCAGCGAGCGCTCGATCGCCGTCATCGCGTACTCGCCGCTCGCGCGCGCCCTCCGGCTCAACCACGCCGTTCTCGCCGGCGTCGCAGAGGCCCACGGCGTCTCGCCCGCGCAAGTGCTTGTTCGCTGGTCGATGCAGCACGGCTATGTGCCACTGCCCAAGAGCGTGCGCGCCGAACGGATCGCGCAGAACGCGGATGTCTTCGACTTCGAGCTGACGCAAGCCGACATGGCGGCGCTGGACGCGCTGGACGAGCGCCTCTTCACCGAGTGGGAAGAGTGGGGCAAGCTCGATCCGACGACGGTGCCGTAGCCAGCTCCGCGGCCAACAGCGAACGGCCGCCCCGGCGACGGTCGTCGACCGAGGCACCATTCTGTTCTTTTGGTTCCCCGCTTAGCAGTATAGAGCTCTATGGGCGAAAAAAAAACTGTGTCTGATGACGGGCACCGCAGATCTACCATCACAACACGCAAAGCACCCTCTGTTCATCGGCCATGCTTGCGCTAAGCTTCTCGCTGTCCGTCTCGGTCGCGCTGAACATCGCCACAGCCGCCCCGAACACACCCCTCGACCCACTGCCGAGCGCCGCCACCACCGACATCGCTCTCGCAAGCAGCGTTTGCTGGAGCGACGACGGAGTACTCTGCGCGAGCGAGAAGGTGGCCGCCGGCGACAAGCTCCTGACGTGGAGTAGCGTGCTGTCGGCCGCAGAAGCGTATCAGGACGTCGATGTCGGGCTGCCACTTCGCCGACTGGCCGAGCGCTGCGGGCCAGGCTTTGAGAGCGTGGCTCTCGCCGGCCTGCTGGGCGCCGAGCACCTGCGAGGCTACAAGACGCGAAAGCCTTCGGCCTTGTTGGAAGGCGGTGGCGCGGATGCCTTCACAGACCTCGTTATGAGCCGCTGGCACGAGCTTACGCGAGCTATATGGGCCGACGAGGCGAGGAACGACCCCATCGACCCCGAGATGCAGCCTCTCGTTGACATCGGCGTCGAGCTCCTCCTGCCAGTCCTCGAGGCTCGTCCCGCTTAGTAGCCTGGCGTCTGCGTGGGAGCTGCTTCTTTTCGAAGAGTCGCTTACTACTGCTAGGCGACGATGCGCCGCGCGTGGTCCTCGGGCTACCAGGCTAAGACACGCGGCGAGCTCGCGGACGTGGCGGAGGCGGCCTTTGCACTCGTCCTCCACCACCAGCAGCTCCCGTTTAGCGTCGAGAAGAGTGGCGAGGGTGCTCCGGCAACCGCGTGGGGGGCACATGCGGGCGCTCCAAAGGGCCCGGCGCTCCTCCCACATCTGCATAGCCTCCGCGGCGGCACCGGCACGGGCAGCAACGCAGCGCTCTATGTCCCGCATCCAGGCCGATGCGCGGCCAACGCGTGCGCGCTGTGCGTCGCACAGCGCGATATTGCCGCCGGCGAGGCCATCGTCGCCTAGAGAGAGCATCCCCGCAGCGAGGGGGGCGCCGCGATCCGAGGTGGCCACAGGCAGCACCAACCACACGAGCCTGCTGGGCGGAGTTGTGACGGGAAAGGGGTTCGTGACGGCGTGAACGAGAGATATAGAGACTGTGTCGCGTAATGTGAGCAGAGCATGCGGTGTGTACAGAGACAGAGAGTGCGCAGTCTAGAGACCAGAGCACGGACGTGGCTTCTGCGCCTCTGGCCTCTGGCTCTGCGCAGAGAGGCGAGCGAGTGTGTCACTGAGCACTGAGGTCCTTCTGGCAGAACGGTTCTGGTGCACAGTGTCGAGTGTGCGCAGAGACTGCGAGAGTCCAGAGTCGCAGAGAAAGATTTTTACCTTTTACGTCGTTAAACGTAAAGAGTCAGTCATCGCCACGGGGCCCAAAGAGCACGTGCCACTGCTCCAGCATCTCTTGCTTGCCCTCGCCGGACGTGCGACCGAGCGTCGTGCGCCACAAGGTGTCTGTCGCCGACCGCCCCTCCCTCCCCCAGGCACGCGCATCTACCGCCGAGCGCGTGAAGAAGGCCGGAATGGCATAGCGGCACCCTGACTCGACTGGCTCGATGAAATGAAGGTTCTCCCATCCGGAGGAGAACATAAGCGCGAGGCCGCGCCGAGGCGAGGTTCGGCTGAGCTGCCGCTCCCCTGGCCGACCCGGCTCGCCGTCCTGGCGAGGCGGGTCACTAAAGACGAACCGGCCGCCCTCGTAGTCTACGCCCTCCGAGTTGAGATAGAGCACACACGAGAAGTGGAAGGTGGCACGCGAGCACTCGTCGCAGTGCAGGCTCGAATGCAAGCTCTGGGGCGCCTGTGGAGCGGCGGTGGCGGCACGAGGGAGGGGAGTGAGGCGGCGGACCTGCCTGGGCCCTGTCTTGGGCGAGGATAGGGGTCCAATCAGGCTGCTTACTGCTAGTTCATCTTGGGCGTGTAGGCCTCCACGGCGGAGACACGGGACAGGAAGCTGAGGTCCGGACGAAGGTCGGCCAGCGGCAGGCCATACTCGTGTGCAACAGCGCGGCGCATGCGTTCGAGCAACCTGTTGAGGAGTTTCCGAGTCGCGCAGGGGAGAGGAGGGTCGACTCGCGCCCGGTGCCCCTGCACCGACAGTAGAAGAGGATGGCTAACACGTCGCCCGTCTCCACGCATTGGTTGAGAAAGAAGGAGAACGTCGGCTTTGCGCTCGCCGCAGGCATGAGCGGTTCGGCCAGACTGAGAAAGGCGGTGCACTCGCTGGCCGTCACGAAGTTCGTCTGGGCCACACGCGAGCAGCTTGAACTGCCGCTCACGCGACCTAAACGCGCCGGCCAGCGTTATTTGTCTATCCTCGCCCTCTCTACCTAGCCACCGCCATCTAGCCACCAGGTTGAAGCGGCAGAGATAGGAGATCGTCGTCGAAGAGCATAGCGCCGTCGATGCCCGTCTGGGGGCGCATGCATGTCAGATTCTGAACAGAACGGCCACGGCGAGCCATAAGGCTCTCCCAGTCGGCGGCAAAAGTGCTGCGTAGCAGCGGTAGCACAGCTAACGACAGCGATGAAGAGCGTCCACGCTCGGCGATGTGCACCGCAGCGCGATAGGTGGCATCGGCCACACTGCCGGTCCGAGACGCAGCTGGAGACGGGGCGAAGTCGCAGGCCTTGGACGGGGCGAGGTCCGACGCAGCTGCAGACGGGGCGACAAGGCCGTGGAGATCTGAGGAAGAGAGAGGAGAAGGGCGTATCGTGGAATGGTGAGGCACCATCATGATACGCTCGGAAAAAATTCGCGCTCTCCACATTCAGCACGAGGCTGCGAGCGGGGCGGGGTGCGCGCTGTGCCTCGGGAGGTACAACACAGTAACCGAAAAAGAATTTTGAAACCAAACTCTCACAAAATGAGCACAGACATGCTACACTGCTGAACAATGCGTTAGTAGAGTACAACGGTCATGAAACATGCGGGACAGATCTGGCGGTCGGAGTTGACCGGTAGAAACTGGAACAGAGAGCGAGAGCCGAGAGCGAGCGCGAGCGAGCGAGCGTACCTACATGCCCTCCTCGTCACGAGAGTCCTTGTGGCCAAGCCAGGGCCGCGCCGCCGTCCCCACACGCGCTGGACGTGCCGGCACTTTGCGCGCCCTGCGTCGTCGTCCCCACGCAACAGCGCGCGTTTCGCTGCCCGCTCACCGCTTGGCCGATCGCGCCATCGAAGCCATCGACGAGACGGCCAGCGTCGCCATAAAGGCGCCCGCAAGCTTAACGAGCGCCGACGAGCCACCGCCCTCTCCCCCGCTTTCTGGAGCCGGGCCGAGGAAGTGGCTTGCTCCGGCATCGCCCGCCCCGGCCTCCTCCTCCATCTCCGCGTCCGCAACCGCGCACTCAGCCGATCCGGCCTCGAGTTCGTACCCAATGTCGAACCACAAGGAAGAGATCTCCTCCAGCGTCCCTTCGGACGCGATGCTCGGCTTGCGGCAGACGCCGGGTCGATCCGAGCCGGCCGAGACACCGTCCCCTGCCCCTCCCGGCGAGGGCGGCGGCGGCGGGACGACGGAGAAGTGGTCCGTCGCAAAGAGCTGCAGTGGCCGCCCGTTGGGGAGGCAGAAGCGCTTGGGCGGGCTCGACATGGCGATGAGCTGCTCGGTCACGTCGAGAGGCACGCCGCCGAACGGGTCTGGCGGCCGCTTGGCACCGCCGCCGCCGCCGCCGCCGCCGCAAGGCCTGCAATCGCTGCCCGTGGCGCCCACCACGAGGGAACGCAGGTCCGGCTCCGCCTCCTCGCGCGCCGCGCCGAAGGACGGGCCCGCCGCTGCCGCCGCCCCCGGCGAGACGGCCGCCCCCGTGCCTCCCCCCGCCGAGGAGGAGGAGGAGGAGGAGCAGGGGGAGGCGTGGGGGGCGAGCGAGGTCGCTTCCGGCGGGGGCGGCAGCCTCGCGGCCGCCGCGGCGGCGGCGGGCGGCGGCAGCGGGGGCGGCGCCGGAGTGGGGAGGGGTGTGGCCGCGATGCCTCCGAGGGGAGGCAGCGCGGGCGGCATGCCGGACTTAGCCCACGGCGGCTCGGACGGCGCGGCGAGGGGCGCCACCGGCGCGGCGCCCGGCGCGTGCAGGAAGAGCTCGACGAGCCCCACAAAGGCGCGGCCCTCGTGCTGGACGAGCATCGCTCCGCGGCAGTCGAAGAGCGCGTAGGCGGCGGCGGCGCGGTCGTATGCGCGCACCGGCCGCGGCGTCGACATCTCGAGCACCTGTTCATAGGAAGTGGCTCGGAAGTGGCTAGGAAGTGGCTCGGAAGTGGCTAGGGAGTGTCGAGGAAGTGTCTAGGAAGTGTCCTCATCTCGAGCACCTCGTCCGGCGCACACGCGCGGTAGAGCTCGCCAAAGAGGCGCCGGACCAGGTGGCAGTCTTCCTGGTGCACGAAGAGCGAGTTGATCTCCATGGAGCCGGACTGCCACGTCGCGTCCATCTCGCGCACAGCGGCGAAGGAGGCCTCGAAGGCGGCGTTGGCGTAGAAGCGGGCCTCGCCGTCGCGGCGCGAGCGCACGTTCACGAAGCCCGCCGAGGAGCTGGTCAGCTTCTCCTCGAAAAAGGACGGCAGGTCGTCGTCGTTGTCCCCGAGCGCTGGGAGTGGTTCGGTGGCCTGCGGGCGGGTCGAGGAGGCCGAGGGCGAGGAAGTGACGGTGAGGTGGGGCACCGACGCGCCCTCGTCGTGGGCGGGGTTCCGCTGGGGGAGAGATGGCCAGGATGGCCCGCGGCAGGCACCAGCCTGCCCGTGGCGTGAGGTGTGCGGCTCTGCTGCAGGGCTGGCGGTGCTAAACCCTTCTATCGTGCACCTCCGCCATGACGTGGTCGAGCGCAATGTCGTAGTGGTTGCAGAGGCGCGTCACAAACTCGGTGAGCTCGTAGGTGCCGCGCCGCCGCGCCGTCGTCGCGATTGCGCGGAGAACGTACCGAGCCGCCACCGGCGAGGCGCCCGGCGCCAGCACGTACGACAAGGTGTCTGCAAAGGAGGAGGAGGTGGTGCCCGGAACTTGAGCAAGCGCCTGCGTCAGCATGGAGCTCGGCGCGATGTGAAGCAGCATGCCGCCGCCCGGTGCCACGGCTCTGCACGGGGCCGAGCTGCTGCTAAAGGCCTTGCGCTTGTCGACGGCCTGAGGCGCTGCTGTGCAGCGCACGCCGAGCCGCGCGCAGCGATCACACTTGCGGCCGCTCTGCGGGTCCCATGGGAGGCCGTCGAGGCAGCACTTGGTTTTGGCGGCCTTGCAGGCCGTGCAGACGCGCGCTCGAGGCGGCATCGCGACTCTGTCGGCGTGCGACCGCCTGATCTCCGGCTTGCGCCTTGCCTGGGGCCCGCTAATTCTTTTTTGCGCATTGAATTCGTCTATTTGCTTCCTCGAGGGAGCTGGGTCCTAAAAAAGGTTAGGGTCAGGGTTAGGGTTAGGGCCGGGCCACTGCGGAAATTCGCACTCACCCCCCACTGTCGCCAGACTGTGAGAGGCTATAGGGGAGGAGGGTGGGAGACCATAGCTCCCGCGTTCCCGTCGGGCTCCAAAGCAGGCATAGCACAAGCCGCCGCCAGGCGCGCTTGCGAAACACCGACGGCAAACGTAAATTCGTAGGCGCCCGACGGAATTAATCCCGATTAGGCGCCCGCGACACACTGAATACCCCGGGCGGGCCTCCGCTCCGGGGCTGCTCTATCTCCATTGTCTGCACGCAACCATGGTTATGCCCTTCACACCCCCAAGCCCTCGTGTCACCGTTGTCCAACACCTTTTGGGTGTCACACTGCAGTAACATGCGAGGGGCTGAGCTGTAAAGGTTTGGACCATCCGCGTGTTATCAATGGCGGTGCAGGGCTACAAAGCGCTGCAGCATTCCCCCTCCCAGGACCCGCAGGAACCGTGGTCGGAGCAGGTTCGCGATGGTCATGGTGCTCACCGCCGCCGTGCCGAGGAGCACTTTCGCGTTGTTAGCCACGACAGTGGCGGCGGGGCAAGTCCGGGAGGTGTCGTAGTCGCACGACGCGAGGTTGCCGCCGCACGTCGGGCACACAGCATCTGCTGCTGCAACCAGGAACGTGAGGAAGAACAAGAGGCTCCCGATAAATGCCCGGCGCGATTGGCCCACATACCGTGGGATGAGCAGGGACAGGTAGTCGCTGCCCCTGGTGGTCGAGGGTCGCGATCCCCCCTTCTTGTCGCCCGTGGTGTGGTGCTCACCCCCACCTGTCAGCAACAGCACGTAGGCCGTGGTCACAATGAGCGCGGGGAGGACGAACTCGAGAATCGCCCTGGGGTACTTGGAGGGGCTGGTGGCGGTGAGAGCTGCGCTCATGACGCAGCCGGGGGCCCCGCCAACCGTAATGGGTAGGCTGAGTTGGTCTGACTCCATGGTGAGGTTGTTGCCAACTAGCCCCGGAAAGCCTTGCATCAACACGAGGCAAAGGGCACCGATGGCAGTGGAGAGGTCAACATCAACAGTTTCAGCGGGGGCTTGCTCAAGGGAGACAGCGAGGGTGGCGGCGATCACGGCAAAGAATCTCATAATAATTATAATTCTACTTGACCGGGGTTTTGGGGTTTTGGGGTTTTGGGGTTTTACTGCGGGCAACGAGGCAAAGCCTTGGGGGCCCCACGAAGGCCAGCCCATGTCCCAGACCATAGCTCCCGCGTTCCCGTCGGGCTCCAAAGCAGGCATAGCACAAGCCGCCGCCAGGCGCGCTTGCGAAACACCGACGGCAAACGTAAATTCGTAGGCGCCCGACGGAATTAATCCCGATTAGGCGCCCGCGACACACTGAATACCCCGGGCGGGCCTCCGCTCCGGGGCTGCTCTATCTCCATTGTCTGCACGCAACCATGGTTATGCCCTTCACACCCCCAAGCCCTCGTGTCACCGTTGTCCAACACCTTTTGGGTGTCACACTGCAGCGAGCGAAAGCAGGTGCGAGACATCAAGATGGCTGCCGCACCAGACGATATCTTTGGTCCGTCCCTTCTGGGGGTGTTTGATTTGAGCGGCGTGATGGACGTGTTGGGCGACGCGCGGGAAGATGCATGGGCTGAGCAAATGGCCGGCGTGGCGCGTCGCAACCGGCTGCCGATGCCGACGGATGAAGAGAAGCGGGACGCCGCGCGACTCAAGCGGATGATGGGCGGCTTGATGCTTGAGCGTCTCGGTTTCATGCACGGCTCAGTGCACCACCTGATCGAGAACGTCTTCGCTGAGTGCGTTGAAGCTGGCACGTCTCTGAACGACACGACATTGAACGGCGCGTTCCTGTCTCTGCTCGACACGCACGTCGCCGGACTGCGCTGCACCGCTTCGCACCAAATCCTTGGACTCAATGACGAGACGGCGCGGTTCACGATTTCTCTGCCTTCTGAAGGCGCGATTCAGCTTCCGGGCCCGCCTCCAACTGGCATTGAACGACATCGTTACCCAGGCATCATTGACGCCAACTCCATTGACGCCAACTTTCTCTACCATCTGCGTGAGTTGTACCGCAGACGCTTCCACGTCGCTTGCCCGATGCAGGAGCGCGTGCTTGTAGCGTCCTCGAGTTCCGCCCAGCACGGCACGACTCGAGTGGCGCTCGTGGCCCAGCACTGCCAGCCCGCGCCTCCGAGTTCCGCCGTGCCTGAGGTAAGCCCGGAGGGGTTTGACATCACCTCGGTGCGCCACTTCAACTCGATCATGCGCGGCGTGCGCGTGGACCTCCACTGGCCACGCATGAAGGTGCTGCTACTCGCCTCGAGCCACGACGCCGAAGACGGTGAGCACTCTGGCCTTGAGCGCCTCAGCTCCGAGCTCGTCTCCCACATCGGCCATTTTCTTCTGCACGGCCGGACCGACCTGAGCGGCTACGAGGTCGTCGGCACGTACGCGCTTCCCTGGGAGGAGCGCCCCGAGTACGACGTGGTGATGGCGACATACGGCCACGGCATGTGAGATGGCCGATGTGTCCCGTACCTGAGTTCCTACCCCTGTCATACACTCTGTGGACTGCCCGGGTGCCCCGCGAGGAAGTGTCGAGTGTGGATCGAGAGAGCAGAAGTGTCATGGGCCCCCAAGGTCGTCGGTGGGGTGCATTCTGAGATCCCTTGATCGGGACCCATAGGTTACTATACTTAAAATGAGCGGCATCGCGAGCTCTTTCCACTTTCGAAGAGAGCACTTAGTTTCCGACCGAAGACGGCATCGCCGTAAGAATCCGTAAGTTCGCGCTACAAGCTCAAGCAGCTGGCCAGTTAATGCGCAACATAATATTCACTGCCCGTAAGCAGCGCCCCCGCCGCGCCACCTGAGCAGCTTTGGGAGATCCCAGCGAGTGAGGAGAGCGAAATTCTTTTCGGCCGGACTTGTACAATTTAGCAGTGCTCTTGACTCTTGAACAACTTGTGCCTCGCGATTTGTGTGATAAAACGCGTAAAAAGAAATAACATATTTTCTCCCGGGGGGCAAGCCCCCCGGACCCCCCCAGTCCAGCACTCAGATCTCAGAATGTACGCCTACTTGGGGCCCACGACCCTGGCCCGGTGGGTCTGTAACGCTCTGGGAGTCTCCTGCGGTTGCCCCCCCACGATGCGAAACTAAAATCACCCTTTGTGCCAAATCGGGTCCTTCGCCATCGCGGTCCTTGCTGACCCTGCCAAACTCTCTCCCCGCCGTTCGCGGCTCGGTCGGCTTGCGTATGCGGCTGGGAGCTTCGAGGACATGCAGGTGTCCCGCCCCCTCCGGCCATCTCCCCGGCTCCCAAGCGCGCGGCCGCGACGCGCTGCGCACCCTCTTCCGCGCTGCGCCCGCTCTCGGCATGACCGTTGTCCGACGAGATCACCTCCTCTTCGCGCCGCAGGTGCACAACCAAGGGCTGGCCACCTTTGTACTCGAGTATCCATCCTGGTGAAGCCAATGGGCCAAAATCGGACACCGCTCCCCTCCCAGGTGGCCGGAGGGTACACCTCGGGTCGGCGTGCTGGGGGGGCGCCAGTGCGTGGCCGCAACTCACTGTTAGTTTCAGCCCGCCTTGGAGCACTTGGAGTGCTTTCGAAACCGCAGCGGGCCGGCGCGCGCCGGGTTACTTTTTCGCGTCGGCATGTGGCGTCTGCGCGGCGGCCTGCTGCTGCTGCTCCTCGCAACTGGCGCCGTCGCCAGCGACAGCGGGGGCGGGCCCGCCGCGCCGCCGAAGAAGCCGCCGCTGCCGAAGACCGCTCGCCCGGCCGCCGCCGGCACCGCCGGCGCCTCTGCTCCTCTGAAGCCGGCGGCCGAACCAGAGGGCGACCCGGCGGCGGGGCTGCGCTCCTCGTCGAAGACGTCGACGCTGGCGATGACACGGCTCGTCGTGCGCGCTCTCGCCGTCGCGCAGCCGTACTTGCGCAACCCGCTCCGCATCCCGCCGCGGATTGGCGCCGCCGCGACGCTCTTCGTGCTGTCCTTCTGGTTCCTCTTCGGCGCGGTGACGTCGCTGCTGCGGCTGCTGCTCAAGCCCGCCGACTTCGCCGTCAATCTCTGCCTCGGCTCCGCACTCCACTACGCCGCCCTCGTCGCGCTGCGCGGCGTTGGACGCCAGCTGCAACTGATGGCTTCCACCGAGCGGCTTCCATTCACAATGGTGACCGAAAAAGAAGAATAGAATGCCGCCGAGAGGGCGCCCGTTCAAAGCCTCCCTTTGCCTCCCGCGTCTCCGCGGCCTTCGCCCCGACGGCCCCTCACTGCCGCTGCCCCCGCCGCGCCAAGGCGACGGCGACGTCCTTCCTCGCGGCGGCGTACGTCGGCCTGCGCGGCGAGCGGCTCGGCTCGTACCTCTTCGGGCCCCGACGCTCCCTCGCGGCCTCTGCCCTCCCAAACTCGGCCGAGGCGACCGGAGGCTGCCCCGAGATAGGCTGATGCACCTCGCGGCCTTTGGGTTCGACCTCTGCTCGCGGCTGCCCGGCAGCCGCACCCAGCCGCACACCACCCAGCCGCACACCACCCAGCCGCACACCACCCAGCCATGCACTCAGACACGCTCCCGTGACGTGCGGCTGCCAGCGGACCCCCCCCGCGCGCGTCGCTGGACAAGTCTCAGACGCGAGTCGGTCCCGCGGCCGCGCCTCTCGCGGCGCGGCAGCGGCGAGCCGGGCAGCGGCGGCGAGTCGGGTGGCCGCCTCGGGAGGGTCGGAGTGCGGCGGGTCGTAGGAGAGGTCGTAGGAGAGGGGGCGGTGCAGGGGGAGGGCCGTCTCAGCCGCTTGTGCTCAGGCCCTCCCCTACCCCACGGTACCCGAACCCACCCTCCCGTACCCCGCGGTACCCGAACCCGCGCGGCCGCTGCTCAGGTGGCAAGGCGGTCTTCCGCGTGCTGCTCACCGCCTACCTCAGGCGGACACACGCGCCCGAGACACTCCCGGCCCACCCAGCCTCGAATGCGGCGCGTCCCCACCCGGCCTCTGCTGCGAGCTTCTGCGGTCGCTAGACTCGCTGCTTCTTCCCTCGCGCGGGCCGTTGTCTTCCTGACCCCCCCCAAAACCCCCACCCCAACCCCACCACCCCACCCTCTTCGCCGCCGCCGCCGCCGCCGCCGCCGCCGCCGCCCGACACAGGCGACCTCGGCTGCCTCTCGGCTGCCTCTCGGCCGCCTCTCGGCTGCCTCCCCACCTGCCCCGGGCTGGCACAGGCTGCTGCGCTGGCTCCTCTCTCTTGTTGGCATCGAGCTGCGCCCACCCGTCTGGATGACGAGGGCGGCGCCGGCGCGCGATCCCCTCTTATCGTCCTCTCTCGTCTCTCCTCTCCTCTCCTCTCCTCTCTCCTCTCTCCTCTCTCCTCTCTCCTCTCTCCTCTCTCCTCTCTCCTCTCTCCTCTCTCCTCTCTCCTCTCCTCTCCTCTCGCGGCTCCTCTCCCCTCCCGCCGCCGCGCCCTCGCCGGCTGCTGTGCTCGCCGCCTCCTCACGCCTGCCGCACCCGCGGACAGGCGCCGCCCCCGCTGAAGCGAACCGGCTTTTGGGGCGCTCTGGGCCTGGACGAGCCTGCCCTCGGCCCCGCGCAGTTGCAGGCGGCGCGGCGGGCGGCGCTCTCCAGGCTGCACCACCCCGCGGCGCTGCTGCTCTCGCGCGACGCAGAGGCGCGAGAGTGTGCCGAGATGTGCGGAGAGTGTCGTCTCCCAAGGGAGGGTGGCGGGCCCTGAGGCAGAGGCGCGAGATTGCCCGAGATTGCGCAGGGTGCGATCTCTACGCCACTTTCGGTTTGGCACCACCCAACCTTTCGCTCCCCCCCCCCCCCCCTTGGAGCAGGTCGAGCTGAGCGCGCCCACGATCGTCCTCGGTGCCCGCGCGCTCACGGCGGCGGAGCGGCGGCAGCTCGAGGCTGAGCTCGGCGCGGCCGCGGGTGCGCCGGGGGTTACTGTGGCAGGCAGGCCGTCTCCGTGGCAGGGCGAGTGGCTGCGAGAGGGGGGGCTCCTCGCCGGCGGCGGCGGCGGCCGCGGCCGCGCCGCGGCGTCTTGGTTCGCACCGCACGGCAACGCGACTGCCGGCGTGTTCGAGGGGTGGGAGCGCGCGAGCGAGGGCGAGATCGCGGCGCGGGCGGCCGCTGCGGTCGCCGCCTCCGCCGCTGCGCGAGACGGGGTCGCTGCGGGAGAGGGGGGCGGCGGGGGCGGCGAGGGCGGCGAGGGCGGCGAGGGCGGCGAGGGCGGGAGTGAGAGCGTCGGCAGCTCCGCCGCCACCGCCGCGTGGCCCCGCTCCGGCTGGCTGGTGCGGCGAGAGCGCGTCTCGGGCGGCGCCGTTGTCGGCGAGCTGCAGCGCTACCTCGACTTTTCGGCGCGCGCGCAGTCGGCGGCCGCGGCCGCAGGCAAGGCAGCGGCCGGAGAGGTCGCCGCGGCCAGGCGCGCGGCAGGCGCCGCCGTCGCCGCCGCCGCCGCGCGCCGCGCCGCGGGCCCGCCGCCGCCGCCGCCGCCGCGGGCTCGGCGCGCGGAAGAGACGGCGTCCAGCCGGGCGGACGGGGGAGGCGCTTCTGGCGACGAGGCCCGCGAGGGGGGCGGCGGCACGGCAGAGGGCGAGGGCGAAGGCGCGACGGCTGACCGCGTCGATGGCGTCCTCCTCTACCTGCTGCAGCCGACGGCGCCGCTGCCGCCGCGCGCGACCGAGCGGATTAGCGGCTACTTCAAGAGCACGAGCGAGGAGCTAGCCGAGATCCAGCCGAGATCCAGCCGAGATCTGGCCGAGATCCGGCCGAGATCCGGCCGAGATCCAGCCGAGATCCAGCCGAGATCTGGCCGAGATCCGGCCGAGGTGGCCGGAGAGCGGTGCCACGCTGCCCGAGCGGCGACGATGCCTCTCCCCGCGAAGAGGCGCCGTCACCGTGACGAGAGGGGGAGGGAGGGGGAGGGAGGGAGGGAGAGCGAGCGAGCGAGAGCGAGCGTGAGATAGCGAGAGAGAGAGAGCGAGCGAGAGAGAGAGAGAGAACGCGCCGTCCATGCGCGTGCGTCGTGGGCGCAGGCGAGGGCGTCGGCGCCTTTTGGGAGAGCACGTCGTCCTGGCTGAACCGGCCGGTTGAGCCGCTGCAGCCGGTGCGCGCCGGCGACGAGGGCGGCGGCGGCGAGGGCGCGGAGGGTGGCGGCGGCGGCGGCGGCGCGGAGGGCCTGATCGAGTCGCTCAGCCCGGAGGATTTTGACGACTTTCGGCAGGCGAGTTTAGCCGAGTTTAGCCGAGAGAGAGAGAGCCGAGGCGGGAGGGCGGCGCGCCCTCCTCCCTCGTCTCCCCCCTCGCCTCCCTCGCCTCGTCAAATCTCGCTCGTCGCCTCGCTTCGCTTCGCTTCCCTTTCCCCTCCCGCCTCCCGCCTCCCGCCTCCCGCCTCCCGCCTCCCCTCCTCTCCCCCTCCTTAACGCCGCGTCCTTTCCCCTCCCGCCTGCCGCCTGCGCCGCCTGCCGCCTCCCCTCCTCTCCCCCTCCTTCATGCCGCGTCTCCCACCCCTGCCCCACAGGCGGCCGCGGCAATCGCAGAGTTTGGCGGCTCGGTCGGCGGGCGGACGTCCCGCTTCTTCGGCTCAGCGGGGGCGGGCTTGCGCGGCGCCTTCTCCTCCTCCATCTCCTACTTTGTCGCGGCGCCGGCGCCCCCGCCGCCGCCACGGCGGCCACGCCGCCAGAAGCGCGCCGCCGAGCAGCGAGGCCGCAAGAGCAAGGGACGCGGCAGGCTTGCTGTCCACGACGCGGCGCCGTGGAGACCCGCCGCCGTGTACGCGCCCCCCCTCCGGACGGCGCAGCTGCTGGCGTACGCCATGGCGAAGGAGCACGAGGTTCAGCTCGCGCTGCGCGTGGCCGCCGCCGCCGGTGCCGCCGACCCGGACGCCCCGGAGGTGCTGGCGGCGTTGGCGAGCACGTTTGGCCGCGGCGAGGCGACTGCCGGGGGCGGCGGTGGCGACGGCCGTGGCGGCGGCGGCCCGCCCGTGCGCATCACCACCACCATCTCCGTCGGCGGGCCGCTGAGCGAGGCGCGCGCGCTGGTGCCGTACGACCCGGCGGCGGCCGCCGCGCAGCAGCAGTCGGCCGCGTACGCCTCCTTTCTCGTCGCCGAGCTCCGAAGACTCCTCGAGGAGGGAGTCGACGCGGGAGCACCGGCCGCCGCCGCCGCCGCCGCCGAGGCGGCCTCGGCGCGCGCAAACGCCGCCCGGCGGCGCGCGGCGGCGCGCCAGCGGCGGCAGCGGGCGGCGGAGCGGCGGGCGCAGCGGGCGCTCGGCGGCGGCGGCGTTTTGCTCTCGGACGAGGCTGGCGTGATCGCGTCGCCGACCGGGGCTGCCGCGGCTCGCGCGGGCGGTGGGGCGGCGAAGCGTCGCGGCCGTTCCAAGGCGGGCGGCAAGCGCACGCGGCCCGCAAAGGGCGACGCCGCGCCGAAGGGGTTGGCGCGCGGTGCTCTCGAGGTCTCGAGGGGCGTGATTGGGCGGCTGGCGGTCGCCGCCGCTCCCTCCTCCACAGCCGCCTCGGAAGGCATCGCTTCTGCGGCGGCGGTAGCGGCGGGGGCGGCGTCGCGGGCACGTAGCCAGGCGTCGACGGCGGTGACGGCGGCGAGCGGAATGCTCTCCTCTCTGTGGGCGTCGGGGACGGACGTCGGGGCGGACGCCATCGGCGCCACCGACGAGATTGACGAGTTCGACGCGATCGAGGAGGCCTCTGCCGCAGGCGCGGCGCCGCCCGAGGCCCGCGGCAAGAAGGGCGCGCCGGGGAGGGCCAAGGGGGGGTCCAGCCGCAGCCGCAAGGGCGGTGCCGGCGCCAGAGGCAAGGCGGCCAAGGCGACGAAAACGAAGCCGGCGGCAGCCAAGTCGACAACGGCCAAGGCCGCGAAGGGCGGCGGCGCGTCCAAGGGTAGCACGGAGAGCAAGGCGAGGAGCAGCAAGGGCAAGGCCCCGCTTCGGCGCAAGGGCAGCAGTGCCCCTGCTAAGCGGCGGGCGCGGCACGGCGACAGCGGCGCTGGCAGCGACGGCGGCGCGCCGCGCGTCAAGCGCGCCAAGGGACGCACGGCACCAGCCTCGCGCCCAGCTGTGGACGGGGGTCCTCGCATCTTCCCGACGCACAAGCCGAGGGCGGAGCCGGCGCCGGGGTCGGCGGCAGGGGAGGCGGCGGCGGCGGAGGTGCCGGTGTCGGCGGCAGGGGAGGTGGCGGCGGCGGAGGTGCCGGTGTCGGCGGCAGGGGAGGTGGCGGCGGCGGAGGTGCCGGTGTCGGCGGCACGGGAGGTGGCGGCGGCGGAGGTGCCGGTGTCGGCGGCAGGGGAGGTGGCGGCGGCGGAGGTGCCGGTGTCGGCGGCAGGGGAGGTGGCGGCGGCGGAGGTGCCGGTGTCGGCGGCAGGGGAGGTGGCGGCGGCGGCGGCAAGGGCGGCCGTGGCTGCGGCGCCGGGCGCGCCAGGGGCGGAGGCGGCGGATGTGCATGTGGAGAGGCCGTCTCTAGCGGCGGCGGTGCAGTCCGCGACACCGCGCGAGGGTGTTACCAGATGAAACGCATAGAGCGGGGCGGAGTACTACGTTTGAAAAGCATCGAATAAGTTGACACACGGTCAGGTGGGCGCCGGCGCCGCCGCCGGGCGTGCGGGCCCCTCTCCTCTGGCTCTGCGCCATTGTGCTCTGACATCCGAGAGACCCTGCCCCACACCAGCCTCACCCCCGCACCGGGACTCCGGGGCGCGGAGCGATCAATCCGAGCCGGCGGCCGCCTTTCCCGCCGTCCTCTTGACCGCGCCCTCCTCTAGCAGAGGCTGTCGCGCGTCGTCGGCCTACAGGATCTGCCGGCGCATGACTTTTAGGATCTGGCGGCGGCGGCGGCGGCCGCGGCGGGTGGATGGAGAGGCGCGCCTCGGCGCCCGACATTCGCCCTGCCGTGCGACGCATGATCAACGAGTCGATGGCCCAGAAGAAGAGCCCATTCAGTATGACCTACGACCCACCACTGCGCGCGTCGCAATCGTGTCACGCCACGCTGCCACACCCCGTCGGAGGCCACCGGCGCGAACACCATCACCAGCAAAAGCTCCACCTGCGAGGCGGGAGTTAGGCGTGCGTTGCGTCAATGGACGCAATGCACAAGCATTCGGAAACGCCGCTGCAGCCCCGATACGGCAGTGGACTCACGAGGGCGGCGGTGAGGAAGCGGGCATGAAGTATCTAGAGAGCCCCGCCTTCGGGTAGTGGTAGACTGGCGCCTCTATTAGCTGCGCGACGGCATCCAATCTCTGTTCACAGGATGCACGTGTGAAGGGGGGGGGGCGGGCTCTTCACGGAGCGCGCGCGCCGCAGGCCCAGCGCCGAATGCAGCGGCAGGATGACGATGACCGCGGTCACGACCTATGTGCAGAGGCGGTGGAGCCTCGCGGGGCGCGTCTCGGCCGGAGGCGCAAGGAGGACGACCAGCGCTTGTCGCGACCTTCTCGGCCTGCGGAGGGGGTTGGGAGGGCGGGGTCGGGAGGGTGCCCAGGAGCAGGTGGCGGCACAGGCGACGTGGCCGGTGGAGGCGCGTGGCCGGTGGAACGGCAGGCGGAGATGGGTGGCGGTGAGGGCGGTGCAGCGGCGGACGGGGCGGACGGGGCGGACGGGGGCGGGGGCGGGGCGGGGCCGGGTCTCTGTGCGCCGGGCGACACAGCGCTCTGGCGGAGGCACCCATCGCGCTACTGGCAGTGGCTGCGAGACTCTCGTCTCGAAGGTGGGCGCGTGTCGCTCTCTGGAGGTGTCTCTCTCCTCGCACCGACGCCAGGGAAGTGTCTCGGAGGTGTCTCGGAAGCGTCTCGGAGGTGTCTAGGAGGTGTCTAGGAGGTGTCTCGGAAGTGCCTCGGAAGTGTCTAGGAGGTGTCTCGGAGGCGTCTCGGAGGTGTCTCTCTCCTCGCACCGACGCCAAGAAGCCCCACACGAGCATCTGCATCAGCCACGGCCTCCAGCTCGGCGGCTTGCCTGCCCGGAGCGGCGGCGAGCGGTTGTGCGTGCGCTGCACTGGCTGAGAGCGCTGCCGCCGTGCGGTTGGGCATGAGTGGGGGAGGAGGCACTGTGCATGTCCGCCATCTAAAGGGGCGCGCCGTACTCTCCAGATCGCAGGAGGTGCAGGCCAAACCGGTCGACGCACCTGTGACGAGGTGGGGTCTGGACGGGGTGGTCCGGGACGCCGCGGGGCGCAACGGCGTGCAGCCGGCAGGTGCGGTGGCCGCATGGGAGCCAGCACGCCCCAGCAGCAGCCAGGAGCGCGTGTGTGCCAGCGAGGCGCGTGCGCTAATGAAACGGGCGTCGCGAGCGGCGCTTCGGGGCCGCCCGAGGCCGCACGGCCCCTCCTCTCTTCTCCGTCGCACCCACGGGCCGCACACGCCGGTGGGTGTGTGCTGCTGGTCGGTGTGCTCGCCGGTGTGAGGGCACGGACCGGTTGTAGCCCGCCATGGCGAGGTTGAGCAGCAGCACGCCACACACGACCGAGATGACAAAGTTGGTGAGGTACCACGCGCACCTGCGTGCGTGCGGGGCCATGTCAGCCACACCCGTGGCCAAGGAACGACGGGCAGGGCTGGGGGGCCGGCACTCTGAGGCGGCGCCCGACGCCGCAAAGGCGACGCCAAAGACGAGGTTTACGCAGTGCTGCAAGAAGCCCGCAAAGGCCTGCGCGGTGCAGCAGCGGCAGTGGCGAGGCAGCGCGCGGGGTCAGCGCGAGGGCGAGCGCGCCTGCTTGCTCGCGTCGAAGAACCACACCAGCCACGGCCGTCGCGGCCGCTCTGTGTGTCGCTTCACGACGAGGGTGGCAATCGCTGCGGCGGCGAGGCCTATCTGTACGCAGATGGCGAAGGGCCCTCCGAGCAGCGAGCACTCGGCGGCGTCGGAGGAGGCGGCGGGCGACGAGGAGGCGGCCGCCGCCATACCCAAAAACGCAGCTCGGATTTCTTCTTTGTGCTTGCCTTCGATGTTATGAAAACAAACGCGGGGCGGACATGGCATATCGCTCTCGAGCTCACAGACATCCCTCACACTCCTTCTTTATCAAAAGAATTTTACAACCCCCTCGCACGACACTATACTCATGCAGATGGGGACCCTGTCCTCCTCCCCTACCTATCCCTCGTTTGGGTTCTGTGCGCGTGCTTTTTTCTTTCTTTTGCCTCGTGCACCGGGACTGGCACGCACTGCCACTGGCAAATGCCTCTCTCTCTGGACAGGGTGGCCCGCCACAACCCACAAGGACCCCAGGAATTGCGATTCTGTGTGAGCTCTGTGTCTTGTTTTGCCAACATATCCAACAATAACTAAAAGGCTTAAAGAAACCCCGAGGCCGAGCGAGTTGCGCAAAAAGAGAGTTGCGATTTGCCCGATTGTTGGGCTCGGTTGTCCGGACGGCAGGATGCGGACCGTAGGCCGCTACCATGCGCAAGCGGAGCGGTACCGAGGTAGCGCCTGAGCTCCCGGCCGCGGCTGCGCCGGCCGCGCCGGCCGTGGGCGCAGCGTGGGGCCGGGAGCGGCCTGCTCCGTGCTCATGTATCCAGCGTCTCTAGACGATTACAAAGGATCGGACGTCACGCACATTTTGGCAGGGACGTCGGAAATCGGACACATCCACTGGGGACGAGTTTCAATTCATTCACTAGAGAATGACTGAAAGGGCACCCACATGGGGGGTGATCGCACGATTACGACCGCGCAAGGTCTCTGCGAGAACTGGCGAGAAACTGTGAAGAGAGATAGGAAGAGGCGATTGTGAGGGGCATATGCACGCGGGCGCAACCAGACACACAGGCTGCTACGGCTAGTGGAGAGGCAAATCATGAGACATGACTCTACATGCGACGTCGTTGGCAATCGGTGCGCCTATGATAGCCCCTATGGTGTGGACTCGCACCGAAGGTAGTGTACGCCATGCTCTTTTCTCCATGTTGATTTCATAGAGCCGGGGTTTTCTAGATGACCCGGGTTTGGAACATTTGCGCCGTCGCAGCCGCTCAAGCTTGCCTCAGCTGTGCACCGGGTAGGCCGCGGCGGTCGGCTTGATGTTGCGGTTGCACTTGAAGAAGTTGTCGGGGTCGTACTTCGCCTTGATCTCGCGCAGGCGCAGCTCGTTCGACGACCACACCTGCTGCACCAGCCCGCCCTGGTCGGCGTCCATGTTGCCCTCGAGCGGGTGCGCCGACTCCGCGCCGCCGAGCGCCTTCATCTCCTCCTTCACGCGCTGCACCCACGCCTTCGTCTTGGCGCGGTTCGCACCGTCGGCGTCGGGCTTCCACGAGCCAATGATCACGATCCACACCGTGCTCTTCCCGCGCCCGGCTCCCGCGTAGGCGACCGACTCCACCTGCCCACGCAGGGCCACACAGCGTGTACCGGAGCACGGAGGCGTGCGCGCTGCATGCACGGCGTCGCATCACACGGCGACGCGCACGGCACGGCATCGGGCATGGCGGGGTGGTGGCAAGGCACGCACCTTCGCGTCCGCCACTGCGCCGGTCAGCGAGAAGAGGATGATCTCGCCGCCGCCCGGGTGGTCGACGCGTGCCGCCGCGACGAGCGCGTCCACCATCGTGTCCGTCAGGTGCGGCACGTTGACGGAGGACATGTAGTGGTGCCTGCAGCGACGTGGGAGGCCCAGTGGGTGTGGTGCGTGGAGAGCAGACTTCCTCGCACGGCGGCGTCTGCGTGCGTGCGGGCGCGCACCCCTCGGCCTGCATCGCCTCGAGCTGCGGCTGCAGCTCGGTATGGTACTGCTTGCGCCCGAGCATCTTGACGGACACGCACGCACCGAACGCGCCGCAGCCCGAGCCGAAGGCCTGCTGCAGCGCCGGCGAGCACGACAATGATGCCTTCGCGCCCGCCGCCTGCGGGACGAGCGCCTGGTCGCTCTCGACGACGGCCATCGGCACGACGGGCGCGCCGCACGGCAGCACGCACATCACCGAGACCGTGCGCGGCTGCGTGGGCATCCAGTCGCGCCACGTGCGCACGACGCGCGTGGCCATCGCCACCGTCGGCGCCACGTTGATCACGAGGCCGCCGTAGACGTGGTCCATCGGGTGCGCCTTCATCGTCAGCGCCGTGATCACGCCGAAGTTCGAGCCGCCGCCCGCGACCGCCCACAGCAGGTCCTTGTGCTCGTTCGCCGGCGTCGCGTGCACGATCGCGCCGCTCGCCGTGACCACCTCCGCCGCCACAAAGTTGTCGGCGGCGAGGCCGTACTGGCGCGAGAGGTAGCCGGCGCCGCCGTGCGTCGACAGGCCGACGACGCCCGTGTCCGGGTTCGTGCCGGTCACGCACGCCACGCCGTGCTGCTGGCACACCTTGTCCATGTCACCGAGGCGGGCTCCGCCTGCCCACAGCATGCGGCCGGTATGCGGACGGGCGGGCGCTCAAGATGCGTGCGTGCAGGTGAGGGGCATATGCTGCGGTGAGGCAGCTGCACACCGCCCACAGTGACGGTCATCGACTTCTTGTCGACAGTGACTTCGGTCATCTTGCCCAGGTCCAGCACCATCGCGCCTTCCTTCATGCAATCATGGCCGTGCCGGCCGCAAGCGATGACCAAGTCCAGCTTCTTGCTCGATGCAACCTTGACAGCTTGGCTCACCTCTTCGGTCGTGGTCGGCTGCACGATTGCTGCCGGCCGATGGATCACGTCTTTGTTCCAGCACCGCATGCGTTCCTCGTCATAGCCCGCGTCGTCCGGTCCCAGAATATTGATCTTGGGAAGCGCGGTTTTCAGCGTGGAGTCCATCTTCGTTTTGGGATGAAGCTGGGATGAAGCAGGGACAGTGGGCACGGGACTGGCTCGCACTGGCACTAGTCGAAAAGAAGAAAACATCGTCCGGCGGTTCAAAGCATGCGAAGCTGCCTCTTTGCGCCGCTCGCTCGCGGCGGCGGGAGACATGGCCGCCGATGCGGCTCGCACTCGCTCGGCGGGCCTCCGTCCCACAGCCGCCCGGGCGTGCCACGGGTCGGCCTGGCGCTGCGCTGCTCGCACGCTGCACTGCACAAAGCTGCGACAACAAGGGGAGGCTCCTGAGCTTGCGCGTTGAGCAGTGCAGCTGCAGGCGCTCGTGGGCGGCTGTGCAGTGGTGAGAGTGCCTGATTGGGGGCGAGTTGGTGCTGCGCCAGGGTGCGAAGCATGCCCTCTTGCTCTGTGCTGAGGCATGCTGGCTGGCGCCCAACACAATGCCCTGGATGCATTGCTCCACGCCGTGCTGGCTGGTGCAGTACTGCCAGTGCGCCGACTGGCGCGCAGGGTGCGCGTCGCCAGGCCCGAGCGGCGGCGGCGTGGCCCCCTGCTCCGCCGCCTCCCCGGCACCAAACGGCGCGCCGAGGCCCTCAACGGCGCCCTGCCCTTCTCCTCGATGCCATTCTCAACGGCGAGCCTGGCGGTCCGCTGTACTACAAGGAAGTGCTGACTCGATCCGGGCGCGGCGCGTCGAACGGCGCGGCCGTCAGCGAGGAATCTTCCCGTTGCTCGATGGCTGGGATTCGCGGCTAGGTGATCGGCAGGCTCACAGAGGAGTGGAAACTGGATCCCCGGCGGGCCCTTCGCGACCGACGCGCGCGGGGCTTCGGATAGACATCGGCTCGGCTCCTAGCGGCTCGCAGAAGCAGCGCGGTCGCTCTCTCCGTCACGCCGTTGCGCGGTTGACGCTTTTTCGGCGCTCGGGGCGGCAAAGCTGACTTTGAGGCCAAATCAAGCCGGCCAAGGCCCCCACGGCGACGGCGCAGACACCACTCATGGCGCCAGTGGCCTCGGAGGCGGCGGAGATGGCGGGAGGTGTGCGCACATTTTGACGGGTGCGCCACAGGCAGTCAGTGCTGGCGAGGCGCCCGCCGTTGACTGATCACCTTCTCGCGCGGCACGAGCGGCGCGCGGCGCTGCTGATGACGTAGCCGTGGCCGTTCTTGTGGTCGAAGGGTTGGCCGCGGGCTGCCCGTTTGTTGTTGGAGTGTGTGTGTGAAGGCTTCCGCGGTAGTTCCCGGTAGCCGGTCTGCTGAAGACCCGCATGCGATGGCCGTGTGAAGAAGGACTAGTGCCGGACGCTGTGGACCGTCGCACTTGTCTTCAAAGAAAGGGCACCGCCGGAGGTAGGTAAAAAGAAAACGAAGCCGCCCGCCTAATTCCATCCTGAGGATGGCCGGCGGAACAACATGGAATCGAGGGTGCACGCCGCCATGCTGCTGTCGGCAATCGGCCTCTCGGCCGGTGCGCACTCGGAGCGACGACGGCCGAGCGCTGATCGCGAGGATGGCTTGAGACTCGAATTTGACTTCTCCACCGAGATCGTCAACAACATGGCCGGCTTCCCTGGAAGCGACGCCGTCGCTGGCTGCTCAAGTGATTCGGTGCCAGCGCCCCCCAACACCCTCGCTGTCGCCGTCCGCCCCACCCGACCAGCCCCAACGCCACTCCGCTGACCGCTTGCGCCCCCCTCCTCCTCCTCCTCCTCAGCTGGCCATACCTGGGCAATCGCCCGCAAAAGGCTTGCTCGACACGAGCAACGCGTGCAACAAGGTGCCGAATCCCGACCAAGCTAACCACCCAGACGAGACCATAAGGTACCACAGGAACAAGTTCCGGGAGACCGTCAACTCCGCCTGGGTCGCGAATGTGTCCAACAACGGCAACCCGTTCGAGTACATCAGCTGCACCCCAGGCGAGAAGTACAATGCGTCGGGCATCTACAACACGTCGTCGGGGACCTCGGACCGGCTGGACCCCGATGCCGCGACCAACAACGACGGCACCACGCCCGAGAGTGAGCTCTGGTACATGCCCTTCCGCTGGACGATGCCGAAGTTCGCCTGCTTCCAGTACAAGAACACGTCGAACTTCTACCTCATGTACACCGTCGGGCCAGGAGTCAACGGCTACGACTCGGGCCGGAACTTCCTCTTCGCCACCTTCACCCGTAGAGAGGTGGCTCACCCGCCGCCGCCGCCGCCGTCGCCGCCGTCGCCGCCGCCTCCCTCCGCCTCGCCGTCGCCGCCGCCGCCGTCCGCCTCGCCGTCTCCGCCGCCGCCTCTGCCGCCGCCGCCTCTGCCGCCGCCTCCCTCCGCCTCGCCTGCGCCGCCGCCGTCCGCCTCGCCGTCGCCGCCGCCGCCCACGCCGCCGCCTCCCTCCGCCTCGCCTGCGCCGCCGCCGTCCGGCTCGCCGTCGCCGCCGCCGCCCACGCCGCCGCCTCCCTCCGCCTCGCCTGCGCCGCCGCCGTCCGGCTCGCCGTCGCCGCCGCCGCCGTCGGCCTCGCCATCTCCGCCGCCGATCCCCGACTTTCCAGCCGAACCGCCGAGCTCGCCACCTTCCGCTCCGCCAGACTTTCCCGCCGAACCGCCGAGCTCGCCACCTTCCGCTCCGCCAGACTTTCCAGCCGAACCGCCGTCCGCCCCGCCAGCCTCCGAGGAGTGCTATCCGGGCATCCCCGGTGGGCTGGCTTGCCCGCCCGGGCACTTCCTCGGCTTTGGCAAGAAGGGCGGGTGCCGGACCACGACGTGCGAGACTGGCCAGTACACCGCCCTCCGGGGCATCACCAATTTTAACGCGTGCGCGGAAAGGTGCCTCGACGATGCCACCTGCAAGGCGTTCGAGTGGTTCCCTCGACCCCGCGGTCTGCTCCCTTCCAGGGCACGGTGTGAGATCCACCGCGACGTCCCCGTGAAAACAGCGGCCGACTGCGGGGAGACCGGTCAGGCCCTTGACCACTGTTGCTGCACGCGGGCTTGAGTCTGCCGACCCCCACTCGCGGAGCTGCGTCTGATCTAACATTGCCGAGGCTTTCATCTCCGCCCTCGAGGAGACCATGATTCGCCACGCGAAGGACGGAGCGTTCGCGCTTCACACTAGTTCGTAGTTGGCACGCCTACTAGACCATGATTCGCCTTGCACCCGGTCAGCCGAGCCGCTCAGCCGCCGTCTGCCAACGAGGCCACTACGACAGAGCGCGTACACTCGGCCACCAGCCTGATGTGTGATGAGCGAGATCGATGTCATGACATTTTTGGCCGTGTTTTTCTTACCTTTCTTTTTTTCCTGCTCATAACCTCCTCCTCATCCTCCACCCCGCTTCGTCCCCCTCCGCTAGCCGTCCTGCTTGGCGAGGCTATCGAGCAAGTCCTGCGGGGGGGGGGGGGGGGGGGGGCTTTTTCCCCAAAAGGGGCCCAACATGGGGGGCTGCTCCACTCCCTATTATTGGCGCCCCGCCCCTGGTTTATTTTGGTTTCCACGCCCTCGGGCCTCCCGGGGGCCCGGGGCGGGGGGGGGGCCCTGGTTCCCCTTTCCATTCACGGTGGGGGGCCATCCCCCCCTCCCCTAGGCCCCCCCCATGGAAACCCTGAAAAAAAAAAAAAACCAAACTCCCCAGCTAGGGGCCTAAGAGGGTTGGGTCCAAAAAGGACCCCCCCCCCCCTTTGGGGGATTTTGCAAAAACCAGGCCCAAGGGGAGGGGGGGCATCCCGGCCCGGAAAGGGCTGATCTTTGAAGCCCCTTCGCCCCCCGGGGAATTCCCCCCCAGAGCCCGGAATGACCCCCTTTTGCCGCTTTAAAAAAGGGGACGGGGATTTTGAGGCAAACGCCCCCCTCGCCCAAAGGCCGAGGAGGAGCACGGGAACAAAGCAGCCGCCGATGATGCCGCCAATGCAACCGGCACCGCAGCTAGAGGAGGAGGAGGATGGCGACGACGGTGGCGGCGAGGATGGCGACGGCGGAGGCGGCGATGGCGACGGCGGCGATGAGGGAGAAGCTGCAGGCGGCGGTGGTGAGGGGGGAACGGCAGACGGCTGAGGGGATGGAGACGCCGCCGTGCAGCCCATACCAGCGGCCATCGAGGGTTCCGAGTAGAAGATGTCCGTCACTCCAGCCAGCGCTCTCGCCGTGTAAGCGTTTGTGTAGCCTGAAGACCCCCCGCTACACTTGCCCGCCCCGGCGGACAGGTCGGCATAGGTACACCCGCGGTAGCACTTCATGGCAAAGGGGTAATCGGAGGCGGACGGCTTGGGGTTTGTGGGAAGGGAGACGAGGTCGGACAGAGGGCCATTAAAGTAGTACCTATACTTGAACTCATCGAGGCCCGGGATCTCCTGCGAGGTGCGACGGGGGATCTCCTGCTCGGTGGTCGGTCACGCTCGCTGCGAGGCAGGTGGGGTGAGGGCAGCGGCGGGGAGGGGTAATGGCGAGGGAGGGAGGGGAGAGGGGGGACCATCTCGAAGCCCGAGCAGTCGTCCAGGCAGAAGGTGCCGGTGCAACCCTGCGCTGTGTGCTCCATGGTGACACCGCCAGGGCCGAGTCTCCCATAGATTGGGAAGCCGTCGAGGGACCAGCCGATCTGGGGCGAGTGCCCGTCAGTCAGATTGCCGATCTGTGTCTCGAGGCACGACGGCGGAAAGTGATAATGGTAGTCGCCTTTGCACTCACCACCCTTGCCGCCGCCCTTGCCGCCGCCCTTGCCGCCGCCCTTGCCGCCGCCCTTGCCGCCACCCTCGCCACCGAAGCAGCGAGCGTGGCCGCCGCAAAAGTCGAAGGAGGTCCACTTGGCATTTGCGTCGTCGAGGTCCAGAATGTCGCAGTCGCTCGGGCCCACGGCACCCGAGTAGATTGGCACGCCATTGAGAGACATCGCGATGGTCTCCTTTTCACATTCAGGCCTGGCGTCGTTCTCTGTCGCGAGAACTGGGTAGGCGGGGATGTCCATGTGATAGGTGATCTTGCGAGCCTGACTCGCGTTTCCCTCCTCGCCGATGGCGCCGCACCCCGCGGCGCCGCTCTTACCGGTGCACAGGTTGTAGTGGTTTGGGCAACCGTTGCTGACGATGGTTCGCTTGTGGTGCGTACCGCTTGTGTCGATGGTCTCGGTGTAGGAGGCAGACGCGCCGCACGGATCGCAGCTCGTCCCGTGGGCGAGTGTGGGGATTAGAGCCAACCGGAGGAGGAGCGCACGCTCGCCGCGGGACATGCCTAGGGTTGAGAGCTCAACATCGGGGCTCCCCCGGGGTGCAGGATCGACAAAACCGGCGTTCGCAGCCTCGTCCTCTCGACCAGCCTCAACTTCCGTACATTCAGCATTTTGTCGCTGCGTGCTCGTGGCCAGCTTTGGCGGCGGTCGAAGTTCGCCCAGGTTCGGTGACAAGCGCCAGACGATAGTAGTGTCTCTGTTCGCCCTGTGCATGTCAGGCCAGGCTGCAGCAGGGCACTACCATCGTGCTGCCCTGTTGCAGCCTGACTTTGCCCACTGTGCACAGTCGCCAGAGCACCACCACCGCCCGGCATCGTGTCACGGCGAGCTCCTTCTGCGCCCGCTCGCGAGGCTCTCAACAGTAACAACAGGACAAACAGTAACAGCTTGGGCTGGGGAGAACACTTGAACAACGTTGAGGATTTCAGCCAACGTTTGACAGCTCTAGAAACGGCCGTGGTGTCGTGTGCAAGGAGAGAGAGCGCGGCCGCCCCTCGAAGGAAGCGCTGGATCGCCCATGTCCATGTCCATGTCCATGTCCATGTCCATGTCCATGTCCATGTCCATGTCATGTTATATGGAGTTAGCCAAACACCCAAACTTGTTTTACCGTTCTTCCATCTTCGTCTCACACACATTACACATTCCGTGGTTTTTGCACGGTATTCGGTATTCGGATTTTCGCTATTTGGTCGTGTGGGTGTGAATCCCGGGATTAGTCAATGGTACCGCGTCGGCGACGCGGGCGCCTTGCGGGCAGAGCCCTTAGCCACCCTTTATCTTGGCGTTGAAAAATTCCTCCTTCAATCGTTCACGTAAACGGGCCCGCCGCGGGGCCCGCGGGGCCCGCCCCGCGGGGCCCACCGCGGGGCCCGCGGGGCCCACCGCGGGGCCCAGTGATGGCCATTTACTGGTAAAAGAGTGGTATTTACCACTTATTTGATTCTCCTGGGGAGTGGTATGGTATGAGCAGAGAGTGGTATGGTAAATTACGAAACTCAATGGAATCATCAATTTTTCGGGATCTGAGCCGAGTCTAGAGGCTGGTTTGCGGCCAAATTCAGCCAAATTGGCAACAATACCGGGTATTTTGCGGGTATACCTGGCAAATACCGGGCATTTTGCCGATTTCTTCGATTTTTGTCAGATTTTGCCTCATCAGAAGTCGTGGTAAATCTTACCACAATTTGATTGTTTTGGCCGTAGAGTGTTTGATTGTTCTGGGGGGCTATACCAGTAAATGGCCATCACTGGCGGGGCCCGCGGGGCCCACCGCGGGGCCCGCGGGGGCCCACCGCGGGGCCCGCGGGGCCCGCGGGGCCCACCGGCCGCCACCGCGGGGCCCGCGGGGCCCACCGCGGGGCCCGCGGGGTCCACCGCGGGCCCCGCGGGCGCGAGGCTACCGACCGCAAGCGAGAGTGCGAGACATACACGTGCAAGTGAATGACACTTGTACTCAAAAGTGTACACCTGCGTTTCGAAGCCCCTGATGTCGACGCTCCACATGTCCACATCAGGCTCACTGAGCGCTCACACCCGCGATGGTAGCGCGTGCAGCACACACAAAACTTCACACAACTGCTGGCACTACTCTGAGCAGCTCAGAACCCGTTTGCGCTTCTCGCCGGTTGCCGCCTGATGAGGCAAAGAAGCGCGGTGGCAGCTTGGCTTCCTCGCGGGGGAGCACTGTTGTAGCCCTCTGGGTGTGTGTGGTGGTGCGGGGCGGGGGTACCTGCAGTGAGAGCATCCGCAGCACGTCCGGTTTCGTGGCGACAAAGTTTTGGTCGTGGTAGTCGAAGCACCTTACGTTCGACGGGGAGGGGACGGGACGGGGGTCGGGGGCGGCGTGATCGCTCGATGGGCGCCCAAGGTCAGGTCGATCTCTCCGCTCGGTGCTGCTGGGCCGCGGCCCTGGTGGAGTTCGGCATCTAGGGCCGGCACTGCGCGACCCATGTATGGAGAGCCAGGAGGTCGGCCCCGGGTGACGCGGCGGCGGGTAATCTCAGGCGTGGCGGCGATGGCGCGTCGCTCCCTAGCTCGCCGCTGTAGGCCGCGCCGACGGCCGTCGGGCTCGCCCGCAGCTCTTCTCGGAAGTGTCTCGCAGGCAACTCTTCGGGCTCCTCGATGGAAGGGCCCGGCACGCCGCCCCCGACCTGCCGGACACATCGAAGCGGGCTGGTGGGCTTGTGCGCGCGCGACACCCGCGGAGAGAGAAGAAGGGCGGGAAAGGCGTGGGCACGGTGGCAGTGGGCTGAGCGGTGGGCGGGCGGGGCTCTGTGGCCGTGTGGGCTGGCAGCGGGCATCCTAGCTTCCGCACCCGCAGACTGCTGGCCGCCTCCATGCGAAGGTGCTCGCACCTCTGGAGCATCTCTGCATGGTTGTGCGGAGGGGGCGACTCGTCCACCAAGTGCGCCAGCAGGATCGCCTGCAGCAGCGTCTGCCCCTTGGCGGCGTCACTGCCGGCCGCGCCATCAAAGCCAGACGGCGGCCTCGACGCGCGGGTGAAGACTTCAGCAGCGGCGGAGGAGTGGTGACTCCCGCACGAGGAGGAGCGCGGTGAGCCCGCCACGGATCCGATCGATTCGAGCGACGACGAGGAGGGCGATGTGCCGCACATGGATAGCGATGGCGGGCGAGTCAGGCGCGGTGCCGCATCGCGCCGGCCCGAGTTTAGCCCCTGCAGCGTAGAGTTTAGGTCCTGGAAGGGCGCCAGCATTTGCAGCGCCGCGGACAGCTCATCCTTCTCGGCGAGCATGCTCCGCGGTTGCGCAGTCCCCTCCCTCGCCACGCCAAGCGACGAAGTGGCAAACAACAGCGCATGGAGAGAGACTAGGCTGGTCGTTTCAAGACTTGATTGTCGAGTGCCCGCTTTCAAGACATCCGAGCGGCAAGTTTAGAAAACCTCCGAAGCGTACCTGGCCGAAGTGACGAAGAAGAACGATCTTAACCGCCGCCCGTCGCCGCCTGCCTCGCCACCACCGTCCATCCTTGCCTCGCCGCCGTCCGTCGCCCACCAGCCCGCCTCCCTCAGCCGTGAGCCGAGCCCGCGAGCGAGCCCGCCGCCGCCCACCCCAGCTCGCCTCCGCCGCCGTTGCCGCCGCCCACCCCTCCGCCACCGCCAATGCCGCTCGCCTTGCTTCCACGTGTTCGCGTTCGGCGTCGACTCGCGGCAGCCTACTTAGCTACCCTTGGGGATGGAGCACTTTTGCCTTTTGGTGCGGAGTGCAGTCGGCAGCCTCACTCACATCCAGGGCCGGGGCGGAGCTAAGAAGCGCGCACCCAGCGGGCCTTGGGCTCGGCGAGGTTTCCCGGAAAACAAAAAGGAAAACAGAGGGTCCCCAGGCGCCGGGCTGAACGCGGCTCTCGACCACATCTCCGCGGCTGTTGCCGGGGCGAAGCACGTCTTCTATGAGGAGTACCACGGCAGCAAGGGCTACCGGCCCACGCTGTGCAACTTTGGCTACCGTGCCGTGATCGAGATGGCCTGCGCCAAGGCGGGCGTCCCGTTCACTCACTACAACCCGAGAAAGTGGCCGGCCGCGAACAACCCACACGGCATGGCCGCGGCGACGCCGTGGGGCAAGGACGCCTACAAGGCCGCGCTCGAGGCGCGCTTTCGCATCACCGTGCCGCCGGATGCGACCTCCGACGCGGTCGACGCTGTCTGCATCGCGCTCTACGGCCTGTCATTCGAATTCGGCATCCGCCCCGAGCGGCAGTCGGAGCCCCCAGTGTTCAAGTGGGAGTAGTGTGTTATATTCTAGCGCACTGTTGGATGTTACTCACTCTACTGCTGGCGGCGGAGGCGCCGGTGCAGCGGGCGGACGGAGGGGCTGCGGCTCCACCCCTCGAGCGGCGAGACTGGCTACAAGGGCGTCACCGCCGGGAGAGACCGTCACCGCAAGCCGACCGGCCGCTTCGAGGCGAGGCACACGGTGGCCGGAAAGCCGGTCCACCTTGGCCGCTTCGACACGGCGGTGGAGGCGGCGGTGGCGTACGCGCGGGCGGTCGGCGAGCCTCCAGCGTTGGCGGAGGAGGAGGTGGCGGCGGAGGTGCACCTCTCGAGCAGCAACAGCACCGGCTACGCGGCAGGCGGAGCCTTGGCGGAGGCGCTGCAGGCCGCTGCGCGGAGCAGCACGCCCGCGCGACGAAGCAGGAGACCGCGGCGCTCGTTGCCCGGGGGCAGCGGCGCGAATAGTCTAGTAGATGCGGGCGTGGTTCAAGCCGCCCCAACGACACAGAAATCGCGTTGCGTGAGCGGTCTTTTATTGCCCAGCCGCGCGCAGCGCTAGTCGGGCGTCCTTTGCTCCTCCGCGAGAGCTGTACGATGGGGGCCAAATAGATTCATTGCAGGTGCAGTCGAGCCTTCGTTCGAATGGCGCGCAAGCGCCGGCGCGCAGCACCACGCCGCCAGGCGTCCGCCGGAGGCCCGCCGGAGGCCCGCAAGCATAGGGCAGCCAGCACGGCCACGGGTGCGGTGCCCGAGACCGCTGCCTTCCCCACTACCTGTTAGTTCACCCGTCACCTCTCCCGCGAGCTCCCCTCTCTTTCTTTCGGGTATGGGCAAAGAAAGAAAGAAAGAAAACAGGCAACCCAAGGGAGGGTATGGCGCGAGTTTAGCCCCTGCAGCGTAGAGTTTAGGTCCTGGAAGGGCGCCAGCATTTGCAGCGCCGCGGACAGCTCATCCTTCTCGGCGAGCATGCTCCGCGGTTGCGCAGTCCCCTCCCTCGCCACGCCAAGCGACGAAGTGGCAAACAACAGCGCATGGAGAGAGACTAGGCTGGTCGTTTCAAGACTTGATTGTCAAGTGCCCGCTTTCAAGACATCCGAGCGGCAAGTTTAGAAAACCTCCGAAGCGTACCTGGCCGAAGTGACGAAGAAGAACGATCTTAACCGCCGCCCGTCGCCGCCTGCCTCGCCACCACCGTCCATCCTTGCCTCGCCGCCGTCCGTCGCCCACCCACCCAGCCCGCCTCCCTCAGCCGAGCCCGCGAGCCCGCCGCCGCCCTCCCCAGCTCGCCTCCGCCGCCGTTGCCGCCGCCCACCCCTCCGCCACCGCCAATGCCGCTCGCCTTACTTCCACGTGTTCGCGGCACCTTCGGCGTCGACTCGCGGCAGCCTACTTAGCTAGAGCACTTGGAGTGCAGTCGGCAGCCTCACATCCAGCCAGGGCCGGGGAGCTAAGAAGCGCGCACCCAGCGGGCCAGATAGGTCGCTCGACGCCGCTCTCTGCCGGCGGCGCCCTCGTCGCCAGGGAAGACAGGCGGACCCACCCGACGATGAACGGGAAGAAGTAGAGAGGTGGAGGACCAAAAAAGAAAAAAGCACGCAAATCTCCCCGGAAATTCTCGCGATCGATGTCCACCCCGCCGCGCCGCCGCTCGCGCCGCCTCACCCCCGCCTCCTCCGACGCCGCGCCCTCGCCGAGCACGCCGCCGCCCATCCGCCTCCTCGACCTCCCCACGGAGCTCCTCGTCCGCGCCCTCTCTCGCTGCGACCCCGCCGACATCGCTCGCGTCGCGGCCGTCTCGCTGCCCTTCCACTCGCTCGCGGAGCAGGGCATCCGCTTGTGGGCGCGAGAGCGCGGCTTCGAGCTGCCGGCGCAGCCAGAGGGCGAGGGCTGCGCCGTGCGGTGGCTGTGCTTCGCTGCGTTGCTGTGCGAGTCCAACCCGCCGGCGAGGGCGGCGGCACTCCGCAACCACAGCCTCTTCATCGACGGCGAGGGGCGGCTCTCGTCGTGCGGAAAGGCTGAGAGCTGGACGCCGGGACTGCTCGGGCACGGCGAGGGCGTGACGCGGCTGAACACGCCGACCCGCCTCCCTTCCCCGCTCGGTGGTGAGCGCGCCATGAGTGTGACGGCGGGATCTGCGCAAAGCCTCGCCCTCGCCGCTGACGGCAGTGTCTGGAGCTGGGGCAATGGATGGCGAGGCATGCTGGGCCACGGCGACGAGCAGCGCCAGCTGCTGCCCAAGAAGGTCGAGGCGTTGGCAGGGCGGCGCGTCGTCGCTGTGTCGGCTGGGACCCTCCACAGCCTCGCCATCACTGCCGACGGAGCCGTCTGGAGCTGGGGCGGTGGAGCCTTTGGCAAGCTGGGCCACGGCGACGAGCAGCAGCAGCTGCTGCCCAAGAAGGTCGAGGCGTTGGCGGGGCAGCGGGCCATCGCTGTGTCGGCTGGAACCCGCCACAGCCTCGCCCTCACCGCTGACGGCGCCGTCTGGAGCTGGGGCGATGGAGCCTTTGGCAAGTTGGGCCACGGCGACGAGCAGAACCAACTGCTGCCGAAGAAGATCGAGTTGCTGGCTGGCCAACGCGCCATCGCCGTGTCGGCTGGAGAGTACCACAGCACCGCCCTCACCACCGACGGTGCCGTCTGGAGCTGGGGCTATGGAGGCTATGGCCAGCTGGGCCACGGCGACGAGCAGGACCAGCTGCTGCCGAAGAAGATCGAGGCCTTGGCTGGCCAGCGCGTCGTCGCTGTCGCGCCTGGAGCCTCCAGCCAACACAGCCACAGCCTCGCCCTCACCGCCGACGGCGCCGTCTGGAGCTGGGGCAGTGGACACGCTGGCGTCTTGGGCCACGGCGACGAGCAGGACCAGCTGCTGCCGAAGAAGGTCGAGGCCTTGGCTGGCCAGCGCATCGTCGCTGTGTCCGCTGGGGTCCGCCACAGCCTCGCCCTCACCGCTGACAGTGCCGTCTTCACGTGGGGCCAGGGCGAAGGTGGCTGCCTGGGCCACGGAGAGGACCTGTCGAACCAGCTGCTGCCCAAGAAGATCGAGGCGTGGGCGCCGGGGCAGTGAGAAGCCCGCGAAGTTGGACAAGGAGGGGATGCTCAGGCTTCTCGCGGCGCTCTCAACGAGGAGAGGATTCGGTTCGGCGCCACGGCGGGGCCGAGCCCGAGGGTGGGCGAGGCAACGGTGGCGGCGGAGGCGGCAGAGGACGTGGCTGGTGTTGGCTGAGGCCGTCGCCGAGGCGGCGACCGCCGAGGCTGCGGCGAAGGCTGCTAGGGCGGCGGTGGAGGCGGCGACCGCCAAGGCGAATCGGTCGGCCGTATCAGCTCGCTCTGATGCGGCGGCCGGCCTCGGCGTTCGCCGCGCTGATCGGCGACACTCTAGAGGGGCGCAGGCGCGGGGCGTAGCAACTGACTGAGCCGGGGGCGGTCGGGTAAAGATTTTTCTTTTCTGCGTTGCCAAGGATTGTCAGGACTCGCCGGGGCGCCGGGCCCGAGGCCACTTCTTCAGTCTGGGAACTGAAGGGTGGCCACCCTCCCGTCGATGGGCTGTCGATGGGCTCAGCCTGACTGACTTGACCCCTAGGGACAAAAAAATCTCCCCTTGGGGGGGTGCGCGTTCGCAGGGAAAGGGGGGTGCGCGGTCGCAGGGCCATAACACGGGTCTCCGAGGGTTCTGCGCGCCAGGTTTTCCCCAGCGGTGTGGGTCCCCCTAGCTGCGGAACGCCCCCCCTACTCGGGAACACATACCGGATACCGTCCCGCGGCCTCCGACTTTTTTTGCGGCGAACGACTTCGTAGGCACCGGAGGGAACAAGGGAGAGCCAGCCTTCCACGACCGCGTCTTCTATGCAGGCCGGATCGTCTCGGTCTGAGGCCTCAGACCCGCGCGACAAGGTTGCGGAGCTGGTCACCAAAGACGTTTGGGACCGCCTCATCTTTGACGAGGCCAGCGGCGAGTTGGACAGCTCAGAGCGAGCGGCGGACGCCACCGCGGCGGGTCTGGCGGTCGATGCCGAGGAGAAGCGGAGCCCGCAGTCGCCGCCGCAGCCGCTGTCGCCGCTGTCGCCGCCGCGCGGTGTGGACGCACTGCAGAGCGGCGGGCTCGAGTCAGCCCTCGGCGCCGACCCGCGCAAGCGCAACCGCGCAGCGGCGTCGATGAGCTCTGTCGGTGCGCCTCTTGCCCCCGTTGCCGCCAGCACGAGCGAGCCCGGCTCGGCGCACCACATCCAAACCCCCGCCCGCGTCGGCGCACCCCCTCGCTGCCGCCTGCCCATCTCCGTGATGGCAGCTCCCCACGCCCTCTGCAGCGAGCGACGACATGCGGATCCTGACGATTGCGACGGACGAGGCGCCCACCCTTCCCCGCCGCTGCCTTGCTGCCCTCTTGGCTGCGCGTCCTCGCCGCACCATGTCGCTGCCTCGCGACCCTCGCACTTCCTCCCTGTGTCGCACCGCTGCCTGCCCGCCTCCTCCCTCTTTCACTGCCTTGCGCTCTCCCGCCAGATCACCTCAATCTTCACCTCGATGGAGCTGTCGCAGCTGTTCCAGCCGGGGGCGCTCAGCTCCGCCCCGGGCTCCGCGAGCAACTCGGTGAGCGGCACCTCCGCCGCCGCCGCCGCTCAGGCTCGCATCCTGCCACCCTCCTCTCCCCCCTAGCGCACTGAGCCGGGGGAATAGAGCGGGGGAGACGGCAGCACAGCCCCTTTGCACGCTCGCACGGCTCCAGTCTCGCCTCCCCCACTCCCGGGGGCAGGCACAGGCGCCGCCCTTGCCCCCTTCCAGCACTCCCCACCGCCATCCACCACCCACACTGCCGCTAGGTGCACCAGCCCTCTCACCGCCACCCCCCTCCCCGCCCATAATCAGACGACGGTGGTGCAGCCGCCGCCGCAGCAGCCGCCGCCGCAGCAGCCGCCGCCGCAGCAGCCGCAGGCGCAGCCGCCGCAGCAGCCGCAGCCGCAGCAGCCGCCGCCGCCCGATCGCACCAGCGGCGCGTGGGCCAGGGCCAGTGCGACCAACACTGTCCTCGAGGCCTTTGGTGCCGCAGACTTTGGAGTCCCCGAAGAGGCCTTGCGCACCGAGCACGAGCGGCGGCGCTCAAACCCCCTCGCCGCCGCCCCCAGCGCTTGCGCCACCTCCGCCCCCTCGGCCGCGTCGGCGGCGGCGGCGGCGGCGCAGCAGCAGCAGCAGGCCCTCATCTCGGGCAGCGCCGGCGCGGGCCCGAGTTTGTCTGCGGACGT